AGTTTCCGGGTGAAAGAACTTCACTTGATCTACAATCCAACCACGAATTTGATGAGAAAAAGCAACATATTTAGAATCCATGTCCTCGACAGCTTGATGTAAAGAAGTCACGTTTTTCTTCAAGGTTTCCACTTCTAGTTCCAGTTCGGCTACTCGGAAGTCTGAATCTTCGAAATTCTTCTTCAACATTTTATGCTCTTCAGTCAACTCATCATTTTCCCGTTTAAGAATAGTAAACTCATCATTGACTTTTTGGACCAGCTTTTCAGTTTCTTTAAGTTTCACTTGAAAACCTTGGGCAACAAACTCGGCAGCTTCGGCCCTTTGAGTCAAGCGAGCTTGTTCAGATTTGAAATTGTTTTTAAAGAGTTGCAACTCTTTCAGCTCAATAAGTAGTTGTTGATGTTCAGCTAGTGCTAACAGTTCCATCTCGTAATAGTGGGCTTCACGGAAGGAGTTATCTTGGATTTCAGTAAATTTGCCAATTAATTGATCAACAGAAAACTTATCCCATTTTTCACGGAGCCCAGCGGTAAAACAAGGTTGTAATTTCTTGATAAAGGGAGGAACTGAAAAAGGAGTTGCAATCACTGAAGACGGAGGCGTCAGCGACTTGTCACTAGAAGGGGGATCCGGGCTGGGTTCGTTAATCTGAACTCGTTTTTTGTGGCGGGTGTCACCTGAATCAACAGGGGCATCCGTATCTAGTACCACAGTGTCACTGGGGATAGAACCCGTTGCGGAGGTAGCCGAGAGAGAAGAAGGAGTAGGAGAGCCTTCTTTTTCGCCAGAAGCCGAGGAAGGATCAGTACGCACAACTTTATCACCAGAGGCAGCAGAATCATCTTGCTGAATAACCTTTTTTTTCTGGCGAGCAAAGAAGGTAGGATCCATGATCTTATCTGAAAGAAAAATACAACAAATATAAAAGTTAAAGGGCGAGTATATATGATAATATAAAGAAAATGGATAAGTTACTTACTTAATTTCCTGCAAATCCACTCAGGAAAATCTTTATACCCTAGAATAGACCGAGGAATGATAGAAATGTTTTGCTTGGCTAACTCGGAAGTCAGTTTTTTGAACCATGTGAAAGTTTCAAATTCATCAGTACTCAAATTCTTTGAGTTAGTTAAAAATGCTTTCGCAGACGTAGTATAATGATGTTGGTTCCAACTGAGAGGGAATCGAGGAGCCCCGTCCTGATCCAGAAAGAAGGCAGAGGGAGAGGCAGATTGAGAAGAAGAAGAAGAGGCAGACGGTGTAGCCGGAAGAGCCTCAGGTATACAAATTTCGAAGTAATCTTCTTTGAAGTTCTTCCTGTTGTCTTCATATATAGTACACCAGCGAAACCCGGGACGGGCTTTTAAAGAAACCCAACTATGGCGAGTACTTCCTTTATCAATAGCATTTCGGAACACGGCGAATAGACAGAAAAAGACCCGAAAAGAGTAACTGAATCCAAAAGATTTACAAATTATCTTAAAGGTATGTAAGAAACACCAGCTGTTTGGGTGAAGTTTAGAGGGAGCGACTTCAAGATGATTTAGGACATCCATTTGAAACTCAGTGAAAGGTAGGGTTACCTTAAGCTCGGAAAATAAGCATTTATAGGCAAAAAAGAAAGAATTCTCACCTTGCCCAGAAGGTGAACAGACATGTTCTTCTTCTCTGGGTACAGCAACTCGGAAAGAAGTGATAATGGAGTCACGAACTAGAGGGATTGATTGTAAGGCTGTGTGAAGATTACTCGGATGGTTTTCATACGAAGAACGAAGTCCTAGAGCTTCTTCATCAACCCATTCTAAACTTTCCACAGTAGAAGGTATGGCGAAGCGAGAAAGTGGAAGCGAACGGAAGGGGCGATTCCTCGGCGGCATGGCCTGGACGGAAAGGTACCAGTAAAAACTAGTTTAGAAGACATATTACAAGTTAAAAGTTCAACTGAAGAAAATGGTGGTTATTAGTAGTTATAAATGGATTCTTAATCCGTCCAGAACGTATAAAGCCGGTAAAGGAGTATTGAAGAAGGTGAAGGAACAAATACAAGGAAGGTCTTTGTCAGGATAACAAGTGAGTTTACCAGGATCATGTTTAAAGATGCAAGTAACAGTTTTTAGAGTGAAGGTTAAAATTAGGCAAGAAAGAAGAAACGAAAGCAAGTGTCAAGATAAAAGAACTTACTTGTATAGTCTGATGAGGAACAGCAACCAAATGTAGCAGCGTCACACCAAGTTCGCACAAAGAATCTCAAGAAAACGCAGAAAGAAGAAAGAACCAGAAAACTTAAGCAGAGGAGAACGAAGAAGAAAATGCTGGAGAAAAGAAGAAGGGAGGGTAAAAATGAGTAAATGAGAAAATCAAAAGCAGGTGGTAATAAAGGAAAGAGATAAAGTAATTGGCGTTTCGAATTTCGAAAGGCAATGATGGCTGTCAGGATATAACGTTTCAGAGGGGAAGTGGTTTGGAAAATCAAGGCAGTAAGTAAGTGACAAATGGCAATCAAGATTTGAATAAATAAGAAGCATTTAATGAGGATGCTGACGTATAATAAAGGGAAATTATAAAAGGTAAATTAACTGGTAAACTCGGAGTAAAATAGACATTACACTTCGAGCTTGGGGTCTTAATGTTCTGGGTTTATACATCCGGATATTTAAAGTCAAGGAAAAGAGCTGGAAGAACTCGGAGGGGGTTTTACCCGGAAAGGAAGCCGGCCAGCCAAAGACTAGAACCCCAAGTAGGTCCCACCACGATTACATGATGGTATCCATAACTACCCACGTCCAGAATAACTACCTATGGAAGGGCTATATATATCGAAGATAGTAATTAAGGAAAAGGCAGATAAAAACCATACTGATGTCCATCAAGAACAGTTTGTATATGGAATGACAGTTTATCAAGAAATGAGACATGCAAAGTTAAGACAAAACTAAGATAAATAGAAGACAGTTTTGTGGATGCAGACAATTTTGTTTAGGAATTTATGTCTCTTGTCCTTGAGTTCCCTATAAATAAGGGACTCCGTGGAACGGTATGTTGATGGCCCCGGGAACCTTTTATCAAATATTATAAGCGTAGGAAGGCCCAACTGGATGGAGGAATCAATGTAGCCCAATCTGAGGATATGAGCCCAAAGGAGGGAAGTGGCAGTGAGACAAAGGAACACACAAAAAAAAAAACAACAATCAGTTACGAAGGAGGCCACATGGAAAGTTGTGAATGGAGAAAGCGAAATGGGAGAGGGAGCTGTTGTGAGTGACGAATAAAAGGACGGTTAGAGGGTGAAGAGAGGATCATATTTGGGAGTTTGTTAGTAGGGGCAACACCTGAACTTGGTGGTTCATTGTGGAAGGTATGGGTATCTATCCAATCGGTGAATTGTGTTTTGTTAATCCGGACCATGCTTAATCTGCTTGTTGGAATGTTGACTTGATCCACTCGAGGACGAGTAGACGCTTAAGTTTGGGGTGTTTTGTTGGGATGTTTATACTGATGTTATATGTGCTGATCATTGCTTGAGAAATGTGAACTTTAGTAAAAAAAAATGCTGTTCTTTTAATCTAAATTGATCTTGTGATGACTTGGCTACTGAGACATGCGTTTGTAATTTTTTTGGTGCTAATAGTCAGGTTATGAAGTTTAAAAGGAAGAAAAGAGAGTGGACAGCTCAACAGAGGTGGACCATGAAAATGACAGCCAGACACTTCATCAAAGTTACTATTCAGGACATTTAGCAGCCATTAGATCATTTCTGGAATAGAAGGCTGAGATTAAAAGAGGAATCACTATAACAAGCAAAGAGGACACATCAGCTAAAAACTTTCGTAATTTTTTTCCCCTTTCACGTACTTTAGACTATAGCTGTAGGAGTCTTTGAGTTTTTCTCTCTCTTGTTCGTTATTTTTCACTGTTCTCTCTTTGTGGAATTTCTCTATTACCACTTTGTAGTGAAATTGAAGATTGAGGTTGTAATTGATTTTCTGAATTTGTGTGATGTAATCGGATCTTGGAAAAGTTATCTTGTTGATGAAGTTGCTGTTTCAGACCTTTATTTTGCTGTAATTCTAGATAATCAGATCTGTAATTTGGAATTCAGGTACTGTGCATTTGCTAATTTAATGGAAACTTCAACGTTCTTCTTCTTCTTCACGTCTATTTTGCATTTTGATTTAGCTATGAGCTAAATTCCCTTTAGGACTATGACGTGATGGATCTCTGATTTATGATATTCTGTAATCTGCGTTAGATCTGTGTGCAGCTGATTTAAGTTGTTCATTGTGTATTCTTTGTTGAAGCTATTTGAGATATGGCCAATTTTGATTAGCTAATTAGGATTATTCAATTAGAAGGTTGAGTTAATCTGGAAAACTCAATGGACAGTGGAATTAAGACTAGGAATAGCTCTGATTTCACAACTTTGAAGCCTCTGTTCTGTAATGTAGTATGAATCGAGAGAATACACCAACGTGGATTCTTGAATTCAACTAAAATGTTGTGCTGGAAAGTGCGAACATGTTGTAGCAGGTTTCGTTGGTTGAATTAGCTACTGTAACAGGTTTAGTCAGATTATAGGATTAAAGTGTTGAAAAAGTGAAATCATATCTGGTAAGTTTTTATAATTGATTATCTCTTGCATTTGTGTCATAATACTGTTACTGTTACCTTTGTTTAGTATATACTGCTGTTTACTAGTTTTATATCAATTCTCATTATCTCTTTGTTAAAAGGAACCACAAACATTTCATATAAAAATAAGAAACCATAAAAATACATTGTTGTTGTCTTTCATAAATTCTGATAATACATTTCTACAAATTATCCAAATGGGAACGATATTCCTTCACTCATCATATATTACTTGTGACCATGTACACTTGCACGTGTGAGTTCTTGGTTTAATTTGTATACGCACTTGAGAACCGAACAGTCGCGGTACCCTAAAAGCCTAATCAATACCATAGTAATAATCCCAAATACAAGAACTAGCAAAAGATCTAGGGATGAGAAACAGTGATATTATACTCCACAACAAAGTCTTTGGCTGAGGAAATATCCCAAAGACTCTTTAGAATGGCATAGCCCTTAGCAAACCTGAACACACCAGTGCCTCCAACTATTGGAATTTCTCTAACTGTGTCCTGAACAGGGTTCCTCCCTAGAAGGCTAAGGGTGCTACCTGCATAGTCACCCTCAGTGAAAACAAAATTGATCAGCATCACCATTCCACTGTCCTCCAATGAAGCCAAACCAAACAACCCTTGAGCTCTTCCAACAGGCTTTGAACTTAGCTCTTTTCCTTCAGTCAAAATGCTGTCCATCATGAAAGTGGATCCAAACGCATTTTTGGAACTGTTTGGTGGATCAATAATTTGCACAACAGTGGGGTTTTGGGGCTCTAGGGTTTCATGGTAAAAGAAGTGCAAACGGGTCATTTTCTCTGTGTGGTGATGATATGTGGGTAACATGATGTGGGATTGTTCTGAGAACACTCCATGGATAGTGGTTAAGTGAGTAGAGATGAGAGTGAGAGACAAGAGAATGTAGAACCTAAGAGGGGCAGCCATTGAAGAAATATTTTCAACTAAGTTTGTGGCATTAGAGGCACTTACTTATTTGTAAGGGTTTTCTTTTGATTAGAATAAGTCTTGAATATTATTCTATTGTTCCACGTTCTTCGCAAGGCATGGTTTTAGGGAGTTGTTTAATGTGTGAACTATTTCCGAAGGGAAGAGCTGGGTTTTGTAAGAAGAGAGGGAAATTGAGAGACATTGCATGTTAAAAAGATATGGATTAAACTATGATATATAATGTGTGAACTATTTCTGAAGGGAAGAGCTGGGTTTTGTAAGAAGAGAGGGAAATTGAGAGACATTGCATGTAGGGGTGTTCACGGTCTAGATTGGATTGGTTTTGGAAGCAAAACTCATCCGATCCAATCCCTTCGGTTTAGATTTTTTTTCAAATCCGATCCGATCCAATTCAATTTTTTTCAGTTTGGATTGGATCGGTTTTCGATTTTTCGAATATCCTAAAATTAGTTTCATGATTATTGTGCAAATAACATCTTTTGTATATATTGGCTTTGTAAATTATTATTTTTTGAAATACAAAAATATCAGTAAACAATACTATAGTTGATGAGACGTGACTAATTTTTTTTTTGGATTTAATTGATGAGTTAATGGGTCTTAGATTTAGAAATTTTTGGGCTATGATTGGGGAAATGACCAAGTAGGTAGAGGAGAATTAATATAATGGATCGGTTTGGATTGGATCGATTTTCATCAACTCATCCGAAAACCGATCCAATCTAATTAAAATTTACGGTTTTTTTTCGATTTTCGGTTTTTTGGTTTTCGATTTATTCGGTTATCGGTTTTTCGGTTCGGTTTCCGTGGTTTGAATCGGTTTGGATCGGTTGATGAACACCCCTAATTGCATGTTAAAAAAATATGGATTAAACTATATATATATATATATATATATATATATATATATATATAAGGTAGGATCCTTTGACACCGGTGTCAAATTTAAAGTTTGACACTTCATCTAAGAGCCGTTAGATCAAAAAAAGATCAAACAACTCTGATTTGTAAGCATGTGACACCATTAATTTTTTTTGATCTAACAGCTCTGAGATGAGGTGTCAAAGGATCCTACCTATATATATATATATATATATATATATATATATATGAGGTAGGATTATTTGACATAAGTGTCAAATTTTAATTTTAATTTGTTTTTTCTCTGTAAGTGACAGCTTCTTAATAGAAGGAATAGATGTGTCAGGACTACTATAAATAATCTCGTAGTTGATTGGGCCCAATATCAAAGCTCGTACCTATAACCTTTTAGAAGACACTCATAAAAAATTATAGGTTAGTTTTGTTTTTTCCCTTTTTTTTGCACTGCTGTCCCCTGGCAATTAGGCAGAGGATTTAGCATACCTAATCTAAAAAGGCTAGACTCCTTAGACTTTCTCTCTCCCCCTCACACGTTGCAGAGGCATATCTTCTTGACTCTCATGTTGTTATTCTATCCCAATCACTCACACACACTCCTGTCTTTTATATGTAACATTAAGAGAAGTTTCTATAGTGCTTTGGTGTTTACTTACACACTCCTCCCTTTTATATGTAACACTCTGAAGTCTGGTCTTTACCATTATAACTACCAGAGTACCCTACATTAACATACTATATCGCCGTCAACCAACCAGGAAGTAAGCAACTAGTCAGGAAGATAACAACCGAACAAGCCAGTCCACGCCATCGCCGTGCCCCTCATCAACCAACTAGAAACCGACCAGTGTTTCTCCCCGTCCTGCTCGCCGCCAAAGCATGTTCCTCTTCCTATACCGTCGTGAAGATCAGATTTCGACCAACCTTCTTCTCTCCTATCCCACCACGGACCTTCACCACGATCTCCAGCTTCCCCTTCAAGATTCAATTTATTTTCTGGCATCGGGCTGTCCACCGGATGCTTTAAGAAAAGGATCACTCACCGACAAACCATCTACACTTTGTCGTGCAACCATCCTACACGTTAGATCAGACTAAGCCATCTTAGTTGTGGGGCCCGTAAAAGAATTTCCCAGGAAAGGCAAAGGATGAAGCAAAGCCATCAAATTCTCTTAATAAAAAATTCGAAAATTTAATTTTTAAAAATATAATTTTTACATTTAGTTTGTAATAATATCTAAAAATTAAAAATTAAAAAAAAATTAATTTCTCAAAAATATTAGAAAACATCTGGTACCAAACGTTTTCTAATATCAACACTTTTTCGTGGGCCCCACATTTGCAAACAAAGCTCGAATAAAAAATTTTACTCGTAAATTAAAGAGTCGACCCCAAGAAAAGTAATTGTTGAAGAAATTCACGTGCCTATCAGGACAAACTGCATGATGGCAAAGGAAAAGTTCACATGACAAAGGCCACAATCAGTCCTCTCGTGGGGCCAACTTATGTATTTCAAACGATCATTCATGCTCAAAACTATCGTAGAATATCAGTTACATAATATTAAGGGAAACAATGACCAATTTGTCACTGTTCATCATAAAATTTACCAGAATGCCACGCACACAGTAAAAATTTTCAAACTGTCACGCAGGCTAATTCGCTACACAGTGTAGCGAATTAGGCCTGATAATGTGTCACGTCCTCACTGGTCCACGTATTTCGCTACACAGTGTAGTAGCGAAATACGTGGTCAAACGGACAGCCCGGTCAGCAACCTTTTGGACACGTGTCATACCCCTGATGGACACATAATTCGCTACCATGTGTAGCGAATTATGCAGCAGAAGGGTCAGTTCATGTCAACTCAAAGTCAGGCCACGTGTCACTTCCCCACATAATTCGTTGTACTAGGTAGCGAATTATGTGGTTATTTTTGGCATGACTGGTAGCGAAATATGTAATATCTGCCAAGTGTCATCTCCCCACTAATTCGCTAGGGGGTACAGCGAAATTATGATACTTAATTTGCTACCCCTCCTAGCGAATTATGAGCTATAAATTACTCTATTTCGGGTATGAACTACCACTACCAAATTTTTCCTTTTATGTTAAGGTTTACTACTTTTGTGTTGTTGTTGAATCTTAGTTTTTTTTCTATTTTTGTAGGATGAGTGAGGGTAGGAATGATTTAATAGCAACTGTTTATTATAATGGAAGAAAATACTTTGGTCCAAACGGGCAAGTGTTTGAAGGTGATGCAAAAATGTTTCGCATGAACCCAAGATGCAATCTTCACGAGCTGAAGAAGTTAATATACAAGAAGTTAAGATTACAACGTGGTCAAACTCTTGCTCGGTTGACCGCTAGATGTGCCTCGGGTAACCCGGTGCAATGGGTTGGTGTGGAAATTGTCGACGATGAAGATGTAACGTTAGTAGTAGATGCAAGCACTTCTGAACACGGCGAGTCAAGATTTATTGAATTGTATGCAGAAGTCAACTACGGTGGACAATCCAGTAGTCAACCGAGCAATCCATGCACTGACATCATCGACATAAACATGGTGCCCGAGGTTAATGTGGAAGTTGAGGTCGCGTCCCCAACGCTTGCACCACCAACCCAAGAAATTTTTTATGAAGCGGTTCCAGCCAATGACATGTACGATCCATCTTGGCGTACAGATAGTTCCGAGGAAGAGCGTGATGAAGGTCTTGTTCCAGATAACGAGTCATCGGATACGGATGTCGATGGTGACTTTGATTGTTGTCCGTCTACTGCAGTTGAACAACCAATTCCATCGCCAGGCATTGTCAGAATGCAAGATCCTCCTGTTGCAGGTACGTAAGGATTAATGTTTTATAATAAAATATCTAATATCAAATATAACGACATTAATATTATATATTGGGTTTTTGGATATCTTATTATGCAGGAAATGATAATGTACCATTTTGGTCTGGAGTTAGCCATTTCACGAATGTTAATTGGGAATATCCAGATCAAGAATTGGATGATATGAATGGAGCACAAATACCTAACTGGCAGATCGGCGACGAGCTATATAAGGACCAAATGTTTGACACTAAGCAAGATGTACAGATGGCAATTAAACAATATTGTATGGCAAATCATCGCACAACAGTCGTTCTGAAAAGTGATACGAAAAGGTTGATTATGGTTTGTCAAAATCATAACGCGGGTTGTCCAATGAGGATGAGAGCATACCAAAAAAAAGGCGGCAGCAAATGGACGATAGGCATATGGAACAACGAACACACATGTGTTAGTCAATCTCTTACCCAAGATCACAAGCAGTTGGACTCAAATCTCATTTGTTCATTGATCTTAGGTGCGTACAGTTATTCGTATTAAATTTATAAAAACTTTGTCTCTTGTTGACTAATACAGTGTTGTTTGACCACATAAACAGAAATGATAAGAGAGGAGCCCAGTGTCAAAATTGGCCTTATCCAAGAAAGGATCGCTACTAGCCTTGGATTCCATATATCGTATAGGAAGGCATGGAAGGCAAAGCAAAAGGCTATTGTGAAAGTTTTTGGTGACTGGGACGAGTCGTATGCGTTCTTACCTAGGTGGCTGGATTACATGTTGCGTTTTTCTCCCGGATCCGCATATAAGCTGGATTTGCGTGACCATTTCATTGATGGATGCCTAGACCAAGCTCACAAGGTTTTCAGAAGGGAGTTTTGGACATTTAAACAGTGTTGTGAAGCATTCAATTATTGCAAGCCAATAATCTTGATCGATGGAACACATCTATATGGCAAATATCGTGGGACCCTAATGATTGCTACAGCTGTTGATGGCAACAATTACATTCTTCCAATTGCATTCGCTATCGTGTCTGCAGAGAATACTGACAACTGGTCATGGTTCTTAGCACTTATTCGAATACATGTTACGCAAAAACACAGAATCTGTCTGATTTCTGATCGGCATGCGGGAATCTTGTCTGCAGTCAACAATGCTGATCTAGGATGGTCTCCACCACAGGTATATCATGTGTATTGCCTTCGCCACGTGGCCAGTAATTTCAATCTCAAGTTCAAGAATGTCATGTTGAAGAAGCAGTT